TGTTCCTGTGTAACTAAGTCTGAACTGCTTTATGTAACCACATGCATTTGAGCCAGTATTTTGAAACAGCTAAGAACCCTGAATTGTTCCTGTTCTCTTAAATAAACATCACTGTTTTGTTGTTCACAACATCTGCCTCACGTGTCCCTCTGTGGGTGAAGTTTTAAAAGCAGTTTCCAGCAGCCAATAGGAGACTAATGGTGGCAGCGTAGATTTTAAAGAACAATCTTTAGTGTTACCTCAGAAACACAAGCCTGAGGGCTAAATCCAACACACTCTTGCCTAAGAATACTTCCAGCAAGGGCTTATCAGCGCTTCTAAGTGGGTGGTGCCAGAGGGCTTTCAAAAAGGGTTTTTCGGCCAGAAGAAAGTTCCAGCTTTCTTTAAAGCTTTTTGTTTTGGGGGCTTTTAATCACAGAAGCCTCATTTCAATACAAGTGGTGTTCAGTTTAGGGCTTGTTATTTCTCAAATAAATCCTCAACATCTCTATATATGGTAAAAAGAATCTGTGAAGCCCACGTCCTCCAAGGTGAACTGAACCACCCTAAACAGGCCAATGGAGACTCCACCACAGACATCGAAGTGCTGCAAGACCAAGAACAAGCCACAAGAGTAAAGACAAAGATCCACCCAGAGGAAAAGTGTTCTTACCATATATCAGTCCTATGATTCCAGCCATGAAAGCCTTCGACAACACAGCTTTATTTGTTCACCTTTTAATAGCCTCACTTCATTTTAAAGACCCCCCCTCCTTTAAAAACCTTGGATACCAGAAAAAAGGAGAAATGTAATAAATAGAATAAGGGGATTTTCTTAGCCACTTTCATTTTTATTTGTTTGGCCTCTTAACAATCTGTGGTTTCTCCAAAGTTCCTAGGGGCAGAAACCAGTTGGATGACTTTGGGGCAAGCCATATCCACAGAGAAAGGTAGGGACAACCCCTCTCTGAAAAATAATGTTTATTTCCCCATCTGTCCACTTTATTTATATTTGCAAAGTCTTTTTTTTCTAATGTCCACACCTCAAACTGTTAGGAAAGGCCAGTAAGTAAGTAAGTAAGTATAATAATAACAACAACAACAACGGGTGCCATGCCAAAAGATCTCAGCCAGCATTTGGAAACAATAAACATCGACAAACCATGATTTGTCAACTGCAAAAGGCCATCTTACATGGATCTGCGTGCATAATTCGAAAATATATCACACAGTCCTAGATGCTTGAGAAGTGTTCGATTTGTGATTTTGTGATACGAAATCCAGCATATAGATCTCGTTTGCTGTGACATACTGTGCTTTTGTGTCAGTCCCTTTGGTGAAAGAGCAGAGGAAGCAGAGGAAAGTAATAATGATGATGATTCATTATTATTATTATTAAAATTATTAAAATAATTATTTATGATTAATCTTTACCACTATTATTATATTATATTATATTATATTATATTATATTATATTATATTATATTATATTATATTATTATTGCAGGGGGATTTTGTGATACAAGGAGAGGCAGGTAATATTATTATTATTATTATTATTATTATTATTATTATATAACAATAATAATTGTATATTATTTATTATTGTTATATTATTAAAATAATAATCTATGGTTCATCTTCATCACCATTATAATATTATCACTTATTATTATTGCAGGAGTCCCCTTGTTATACAAGGAGATGCAGGTAATAATAATATAATAATGATAACGATAACGATAACGATAATAATGGTTCATTATTATTTATTATTGCTATGTTGTTATTCCTTATTATTATTGTGAGAGTCCCTTTTGCGATAAAAGGAGAAGTAGGTAATAATAATAGATGAATAATACTGGTTTGTTATTATTAAAGCACTGAGCTGCTGAGCTTGTTGATCGAAAGGTCGCAGGTTCGATTCCGGGGAGCGGCGTGAGCTTCCGCTGTCAGCCCTAGCTTCTGCCAACCTAGCAGTTAGAAAACATGCAAATGTGAGTAGATCAATAGGTACCGCTCCGGCGGGAAGGTAATGGTGCTCCATGCAGTCATGCCGGCCACGTGACCTTGGAGGTGTCTACGGACAACGCTGGCTCTTCGGCTTAGAAATGGAGATGAGCACCACACCCCAGAGTCAGACATGACTGGACTCAATGTCAGGGGACTACCTTTACCTTTACCTATACTAAGAGGACTCAGGGCGGTTTCCAACATAGGGCAAAAATTCAATTGCCAAACGAAAAGGAAAACCATACAAAAATTATACATTATAAAACATAAACATAGATCCTATGAAAACAATCATAATAATTTAAAAAACCAGTTTCAGTTTTACTCCATCATTGTTATTATTGTTGTTATATTATTAAAATAATACTATACAATTAATCTTCATCGCCATTAGTTTATTATTATTATTATTATTATTATTATTATTATTATTATTATTATTTGATTATTATTTCCTGCCTCTCCTTGCATCACAAAAGGGGCTTTCGCAATAACAATAATCATGCTTATTATTTATTATTATTATATTCCTATTAAAATAGTAATATATGGTTCATCATATTATTGCTTATTATTATTGTTATTTTGGAGTCCTCTTTTGTGATGCAAGGAGAGGCAGGAAATAATAATCAAATAATAATAATAATTGTTATTATTTATTATTGTTATATTATCATTATTAAAATAATAATATATGGTTCATCTACATCGTCATTGTTATATTATTATTGCTTGTTATTATTGCAGAAGCCCCTTATGTGATGCAAGGAGAGGCAGAGAATAATACATATCATTGTTATATTGCTATCAAAATAATAATATATGGTTCATCTACATCATCATTATTATATTATTATTGCTTGTTATTATTGCAGAAGCCCCTTTTGTGATGCAAGGAGAGGCAGATAAGAATATATATTATTGTTATATTGCTATCAAAACAATAATATATGGTTCATCTACATCATCATTATATTATTATTGTTTATTAGTATTATTGTGAAAACTTTTTTGTAATGCAAGGAGAGGCAGATAATAACATATATTATTGTTATATTGCTATCAAAATAATAATATATGGTTCATCTACATCACCATATTATATTATTTTTGCTTATTATTATTATTATTGTGAAAGCCCCTTTTGTGATGTAAGGAGAGACAGGTAATAATACAACAACAACAATCATAGTTAATGATAATACATTGTTGTTATTTTTGTTATATTATTATTAAATGATAATATATGGCTCATCGTCATTATACTACTATTGCATATTATTTATTTATTTATTTATTTATTTATTTATTTATTTAATACACTTGTATACCGCTAATATCTCAGCCTAAGTCGGCGACTCATTGCGGTTTACAACAATTAAAAACAATATACAATTTAAAACAACAACACATAGACAATACAAATTATTGGGCCACCAATAATAATACCATGTATCTCGTCACTAAAATCACAGTCCAGAATTCGTCATCCATAATTAACCAGTCCTTAGTCCATAAAATTCGGTGATAACAAACTAACCGAATGCTTGTTTACACAACCATGTTTTTAATCTCTTCCGAAACACCATCAGCAAAGAGGCTGATCGTATCTCTATAGGGAGGGTGTTCCAAAGCCGAGGGGCCACCACAGAAAAGGTTATATTTTGTGTTGCAAGGAGAGGCAGGTAATAATAATAATAATTTGTAATTATTTATTAATGTATTATTATTATTATTATATTAAAATAGTAATATATAGTTCATCATGTTGTTGCTTATTATTATTATTGTTATTGTTATTATTATTATTATTATTACCTGCCTCTCCTTGTATCACAAAAGGGGCTTTCACAATAATAATATGCAATATAATAATAATAATAATAAATTACAAATTATTATTACTACCTGCCTCTCCTTGCACTACTATTGCATATGATTATTGTGAAACCCTTTTTTGTGATGCAAGGAGAAGCAAGTAATAATAACAATAACCAATAATTTATTATTATTATTATATTAAAATAGTAATATATAGTTCATCATATTATTGCTTATTATTATTATTACCTGCCTCTCCTTGCATCACAAAGGGGGCTTTCACAATAACAATAAGCATGCTTATTATTGATTATTATTATATTATTAAAATAGTAATATATGGTTCATCATATTATTGCTTATTATTGTTATTTTGGAGGCCTTTTTTGTGATGCAAGGAGAAGCAGGTAATAAATAAATAAATAATAATAATAATAATAATAATAATAATAATGGTTATTTTTTATTATTGTTATATTATCATTATTAAAATAATAATATATAGTTAATCTACATCATCATTATTATAATATTATTATTGCTTGTTATTATTTCAGACGCCCCTTTTGTGATGCAAGGAGAGGCAGATAATAATATATATTATTGTTATATTGCTATCAAAATCATAATATATGGTTCATCTACATCATCATTATTATATTATTATTGCTTGTTATTATAATATTTCAGAAGCCCCTTTTGTGATGCAAGGAGATGCAGATAATAATATATATTATTATTATACTAGTATCAAAATAATAATATATGGGTAATCTACATCACCATTATAATATTATTATTGCTTATTATTATTATTATTACTGTGAAAGCCCCTTTTGTGATGCAAGGAGAGGCAGGTAATAATACAACAACAATAATAATAGTTATAATTTATTATTGTTATATTATTATATTACTGTTGTTCAGCAGCACCATGAGCAGGGGAAATTTTGTCTTCCAGGAGTTTTGGACTCCAGCTCCCAGAATCCCTGATCACTGTCCCAGTTAGCTGAGGCTTCTGGGAGTTGAAGTCCAAAACTCTTGGAAGAGGAGAAGGAATCTGCGCATGCTCCTTCTTCCTTAGCCCCTCCCGCTCTCTGGCGCTATGCAAACGAGGAGGGCGTGGCTTGGCCCCTCTTCACATCACAGGTGCTGCGGAGGCGAGGCTCTGTCTGTGACGTCGCGCTCCCCAATTGGGCGACGGGGACCCGGGGGGCGTGGCTCACCTGTGGGGTTTGGTAGCCTCTGCCCTTCTCCGCCCAGTTGCCCTCCTGGAAGCAGTGTGGAGAGATCAGAGGATGTATTCGGCCAGGGAAAGCGGTGGAGCCCCGTTGTGGGCCTTGTTGGCCCTATTGATGATGCTGACCGGGGCGGAGTCGGTGCCAGGTGAGAAAGAAACCAATATTTCGAAGGGAAACACCCCTCTTTATTGAAATGGACCAGTCCATACGCGTTTGGGAAAGGGAATGGAAGCATCCATTTGGAGGCCTTATAGGAGGGATATGCCTCAGGATGTCCCATTCAGTTTTGGCCTTTCTTTGGAAACTCCCCTCTTTATTGAAATGGACCAGTCCATACGCGTTTGGGAAAGGGAATGGAAGCATCCATTTGGAGGCCTTGTAGGGGGGATTTGGACTTTTTCAGATTTGGAACTAAAATGCCCCCCAATGGGAGGATTGTGTGCTTAGTAGGATTGCTGGTTGTTGTTTACACTGAACCGACTTGTGTTTGGAAGCCTGGCGTTCCTTCTGCAGGGTCCTTTAAGAGATACTAGTGATGGCAGGCTGGGTCTCAGGATGCCCCATTCAGTGTTGGCCTTTCTTTGGAAACTCCCCTCTTTAATGAAATGGACCAGTCCGTATGCACTTGGGAAAGGGAGTGGAAGCATCCATTTGGAGGCCTTATAGGGGGAATATGGACTTTTTCAGATTTGGAACTAAAATGCTCCCCAATGGGAGGATAGTAGGGTTAGTGGGTTTTCTGGTTGTTGTTTACACTGAACCGATTTGTGTTTAGAAACCTGATTGAACCAGTTTGGGGCTGGAGGAGGAGAAAGAGGCACCCCCTCCCCAAAAGGAGTGGAGGAGAGTTCAAACTAGCCATGGTGTGACGTCATTGCAGGGTGTTTTGGGCAACAATATGGGGAGTGGCTGATCAGGGAGGATTCTTCATTTGCAGCACCTAAAATCTATAGAATTGGAAGGAATCACAAAAGCCATCTAGTCCAATCCCCATTCCATTATTATTATTATTATTATTATTATTGACACAAAAGCACAGTATGTCACAGCAAACGAAACCTATGTGCTGGATTTTGGAAGTGTTCAACAAAATCACAAGTCGAACACTTCCCAAGCGTCTAGGACTGTGTTGTTGTTGTTATTTTGTATCAAAAGCATTGCATAAATTAGTATAAAACTGATAAAAATAGAAGGAACACAGGTGGTTAAATATCCTTTGATCAAAAACAGGCAACAGCAACGGCATTGTCTGTAGTCTCTGACAACTCCTCCTCTGTACATGAGGCAGGGCACAGTGGACAAGCATACAGATGCAGAGTTGTCTGCTGATCAAGGAAATTGGGCAGGAGGATTCTTCATTTGCAGCACCTAAAATCCATAGAATTGGAAGGAACCACAAAACCTATCTAGTCCAACCCCATTCCATTATAATATTTTTATTTTGTATCAAAAGCATTGCATAAATTAGTATAAAACTGATAAAAATAGAAGGCGTGCAGCTGGCTAAATATCCTTTGACCAAAAACGGGCAACAGCAATGGCATTGTCTGTAGCCTCCAACAACTCCTCCTCTGTACATGAGGCAGGGCACAGTGGACAAGCATACAGATGCAGAGTTGTCTGTTCTGCTCAACAATCACACAAGGATTTTTGGCTTTTAAACCCTATTTTATCACCTAAGAAGACACATTCTAAGCCAGGCATAGGCAAACTTGGGTCCTCCAGGGGTTTTGGACTCCAACTCCCACAATTCCTAACAGCCTCAGGGCCCTTCCTTTCCCCCCTCAGGTGCTTAAGCTTGATCTAAGCACTCCTAACAGATACCTATCCAGCCTCTGCTTAAAGGAGAGACAACCACACTTTGAAGCAGCCTGTGCCACTGCGTAGAAGCTCTTACTGTCAAGAGGTTCTTTCTAATGTTTACGTGAAACCTCTTTTCCTGCACTTTGAACCCAAGCTTCCCCCCCTCCTCAATGGGACAGCCATTCAGATCTTTTGACATGATGTCCCCTTTCGATTGTCTCTTTCTCCAAGCTAAATATACCCAGCTTCCTAAGCTGCTTCTCACAGAACAGTGGTTCTCAACCTGTGGGTCCTCAGATGCTTTGGCCTACAACTTCCAGAAATCTGGGAATTGAAAGCCAAGACATCTGGGGACCTCCAGGTTGAGAACCACTGTCATAGAGCATTGCTTCCAGACTTTGTACAATTGTGGTTGCCCTTCTCTGTTCCATATTGCCAATATTCTTCTTGGATTGTGGTTTCCCAGAAATTGATGCAGTCTTACACTAGGTGAGGTCTACCCAAAGCACAATGGAGTGGGACTACGATTTCCCTTGATGTATAGTTGTGGTTATTAACCTTCCTAATGTCACGACCCCTTTATACAGTTCCTCATGTTGTGGTGACCCCCAACCATAACATTATTTTTGTTGCTACTTCATAACTGGGATTTTGTTACTGTTATGCATCGTAATGTAAATATCAGATATGCAAGATGTATTTTTATTCACGGGACCAAATTTGGCACAAATACTCGATACGCCCAAATTTGAATACTGATGGGTTGGGGGGGGGGATTAATTTTGTCATTTGGAATTTATAGTTCATCTACAATCAAGGAGCATTCTGAACTCCACCAACGATGGAATTGAATCAAACTTTGCACACAGAACTCCTATAACCAACAGAAAATACTGGGAGAATCTGGTGGGCACTAGCCTTGAGTTTGGGAGTTGTAGTTTACCTACATCCAGAGAGCACTGTGGACTCCAACAATGATGGATCTGGACCAAACTTGGCATGAATACTCAACATGCCCTTATGTGGACACTGGTGGAGTTTGGGGAAAATAGACCTTGATATTTGGGAGTTGTAGTTGTTGGGATTTGCAATCAAAGAGCATTCTGAACTCCACCAACAATGGAATTGAATCAAACCTGGCACACAGAACTCCCATGACCAACAGAAAATACTGGGAGAATCTGCTGGGCATTGACCTTGAGTTTGGGAGTTGTAGTTCACCTATATCCAGAGAGCACTGTGGACTCCCAACAATGATGGACCTGGACCAAACTTGCCACCAATACTCTGCATGCCCTAATGTGAACACTAGTAGAGTTTGTGGAAAATAGACCTTGAGATTTGGGAGTTGTAGTTGTCGGGATTTATAGTTCACCTGCAATCAAAGAGCATTTTGAACTCCACCAACGATGGAATTGAACTAAACTTGGCACACAGAACCCCCATGACAAACAGAAAATACTGTGTTTTCTGATGGTCTTTGGTGACTTCTCTGACATCCCCTGGTGACCCCTCCCCCCGGGTCCCGACCCCCAGGTTCAGAAAGACTATATTCCTATGCATGCAGCCTAGAATTGCATTGGCTTTCTTGGCCGCTGCATCACACTATTGACTCATTTTCAAATCATAGTTATTTAGGGGGGTTCTTGGCGTGGTGATCCCAAGAGTACAAGGGTGGCCAGGCTCTGGAGAGTTACATCCTCCTCACCGTTGCCACGTATACCCACATTAGGACTCCTGAGTTACCCGGAAAGCCTCCTTAGAAAGAGAGTAATGGTTGTCAAGTACATGATGTCCTTCCTGGTTTCTTGAAACTGTGTGCCAACCCTTGTGCGAGCTTGTCCGAACCTTAGTGCAGTATTACTGGAAGGGGAAGGGCAAGCTGCTCCCCTTAGCAACCCCCCCCCCCCCCAATTGCAGTGTTTTGGCCCATTATGACACAGTTTTAAAAAGGATTATTCTAAGAGGGAGTGCCACTCAATCAGCCCCAGGCAGTGGCTTGCTTTGGGAAAACTGAAGTTGCCTTTAACAATGGAAGCGGAGGAGGAAATAGTGCATGTTTACTCATGGCTAAAGGTGTGTGGGTGCAGAGAGCAGCAAGTCAATGCCCAGAGTGTAGGAGTGAAGTCTTGAGTTACTAAAGGAATGGTTCCTGTCCAGAATGGGGTGGGAAAATCCCTCTCAGGCCTACAGATCTCATTGGAATGCCAAGTTGGGAATTTCAGGTGGCAATCTGAACTTACCAACTGGTTTCCAGCAAGCTGTTTTCACTGAAATTTCCCCTACCAAGTTGGTAATTTCCCCGATGTTCCAACATTTACCTGACCTGAAAGGACATAACCTGCTTTGCCTATGGATGGTGAATGGTGAACTATTATGCCAGGTGTAGTGAGTCACAGAGTTGGAAGAGATCTCAAAGGCCATCTATTCCAACCCCATTCCATCATGCAGGAAGACACAATCTAAGCACTCCCAACAGATGGCCATCTGACCTCTGCTTAACGGAGACACGACCATACTTTGAAGCAACCTATGTCACTGCCGAGCAGCTCTTACTGTCAAGAGGTTCTTTCTCTGCAAGAAAAACACAATCAAAGCACCCCTGACAGATGTTCATCCATCCAGCCTCCAAGGAAGGAGCTTCCACCACTTTGAGGCAGTTTAAAAGCCTCCAAGGAAGGAGCTCCCACCACTCTGAGGCAATGAGTTCCACTGTTGAACAGCTAATAGGGTCAGGAAGTTCTTAATGTTCAATGGAATCTCTTTTTCTGTAATTTGAACCCATTACTCTTAGTTTCAAGGGCAACACAAAACAAGCCTGCTCCCTCTTCCTTATGACAGCCTTTCAGATATTTAAACATGGCCATTCTGTCTCCTCTCCACCTTTTCTACAAGCTGAATAGACCACTCCTCAGGGGGATTGATGGTCTACAGACCTTTCTTATCTTTCCCTTGTTTTGGTGGATTCTTTTCACAGAGTTTGAGAGGGCATGACTGTTTTTGGGTTGAGGAAGAGGCTGCCCTAGCACTGAACCAACACAGTGCTTTAGATTCAGAGTGAAACCTGCTTGAACTGGGTTGGGCCACCTTCCCCAAACTGGCTCTACCTGTTTGCCCTGATGTCACCATGGCGGCCTCCGGCTGAGTCAACAACAAGCAGCAGCAGGAGGATTGGGCACATAGGGATGGCCAAGACTCAGACTTCATTGTGGGGAGTCGGTTTGTCTGACACTGACATGACCTCTTTTGCTTTCTTTCACATCCCTTTACCTTTCCCAAATGTGCAAAGAGACCTAACTGGATACTCCGTGCTGTCTTTTTCTTTCAGAATGACAGATTTGT